ATAATTTAATAATAATGTCTGACATCAAAACCCTTGGTTTACAAGAGTCTGAAGTCTATCAGTTATTAATAACAAGGTCATACTAGGATGTTATATATTATATATACATATATTAAATATATTTTTTCTGAACCTCAAGATAGATCTTCTTTCACTGTAGACCACTCTTCCAAACAAGGCAGTGTACATGACTTGGAAAGTAATGCAAAGGCCCTGTTTTATTAGTTCCTTGAGGAACTAATAAGTGCTTATGAAGTTCAGACTATTATAAATGAAGATTTAAAATGAACACACAGCCTCACAATCTGAAATAATTATATGAACTAGAAAGAAAATACTATGATAATTTTGTCTTGCCTTGAAGTCTTTGCATTTATTATTGTCTTTGCATTTATTATTCATTTATGATTGTATTTACTTATTCAAGTAACAACTGTTGAATGTCTACAGTCATCAACTGACTTTCACTAAAGACAGTGGTTGACTCTAGGTCGGTCTATGTCATAGTTTTAACTAGATAACTTCTAAGAGTGCCCAAAACAGTTGTGGTCTACACAATTTCTCCTTAAGAGACCTCAAATCTACTCACAAGTCTATAAATACTTAAAATAGCATTTGGAAAGATTGAAAAATTGCACAGGAATATGCCACATCGGATCCTACATTAACAAAAAATTTTCATGAAGCTGTTAAACTTGATTTCTTTGAACCTGTTTAATTTTGAGATAAAGAGCTCACATTTCTTCAATAGGTGCTGAAAATATTCCAGTAGGGAGCAATGAACTAAATGCAAATATTAATAAATCACTATAGTGTTGCTTTATATTTTTCCTATAAGTTATGGTTTTAACAGTTATTCTTATTGTTGAGATTATAAATGTAATCTATAATGAGCATTCCATATAGATCTCACAAAGAACCACCCTTCCAGAATTGAAACAGAAAAAAGCTTTCTCATTCTTCTCTAAATTCTGAATGATATATTGTTGCTTTCAACATTTCTTTTTTTTTTTTCTGATTTTTTTCCTAGTCCTCTGTGTTCGAGACAAACCAGGTTATTTTGCGTATAGACTACATAGTGCAATACATGTAAGTATGGCTCACAAAATCATATCTAAATTCTTTAAGGACTAATTTTGCTTCCATTAATTAACTATTGATTTCTACTTTTGAACTTATATGCAAATATAGTCATTTTGAAGAAATGGGAAGTTTTCAAAGAAAAATGTGTTGTAAACTGAAAATAAGATCTATAAAATAAATATAATACTCTCCTTTTTTAATCAAATTGAGGTACTTCAGAAGTATGATTCCTTGGGAACTATGTCTTCCATGTGCTTTAGAACCCATTAACATCAGAAGAAACTTTGGTAAATCCAAATGTTTTTGTAAATTATAGAAGACTCCTGTCTATTTCACACTTACTAGGCAGATATACAACATATGGCATCAAGAAGAGAATGTCAAAACAACAAACTCTCAGCCAGGAATTGCTAGTCCTGAAAGTTTAAAAACACAAAATAATATCAATGGTTATTTAAACATAAAGTGTTATTTTAAAAATACTTTAAAAATGATAGCTAGAAAACAATAAACTCTAAAAGGTATTTTTGTTATCAGATGAGAATATTTGTCATAATTCAGTGGGATAGTCAATCACACATCCGTTCGTACATTTACTTGTAAAGAAATACATACTAAAATGCATAAACAATGTACATCTTATCAACAAGGTACATGAAATAACTAGAAAATGGAAAGATCTGATAGTAGTGATCATACATGTCATAACCTTATACATGTATCATAACCTTGAAAACCCAAAGAAAATCATTATGAACGGTTCAGTAGTTCAGTAATTCAAATAACGTTTTATCCTTAAAGCAGTTTTTACAGACCAACTTCTTCAGAGAATCCAGCATACTGAGATAACATGCTAATTGTCAAGAATGCATTATATATCGTCCATAAATAGTATTTTTTACTTAAGTACAAGAACTTATACATTGTAAGAACACAGGCAAAAGCTCATGATCACAGTTCTCTGTTAGTCTTTTATCCTATTTGCAAGTAGAAAAAGTCAATTTGTTTTAATATATATATAATTTAATTAATCAAGCTACACCTTGTCGATTATGTGTATATGAAAATGCAAGAAGGAGACATATGGACTCACAAATGGCTAGGAGGTAAAGGGGACGATAATGTAATTAGTCAAAATTTTTATATATAAAGACCTCAAATGTAAAGCTATTGTTCAAAAGATGTTTTACGTCTCCAAACCATAAAGAAAACCATTCTTGGTCTTTATCATAGTCTGGGAAACATGCATATAATTTAAATATGGAAACTTAATTAGATCATTTCAGTCACTTCAAATTAAGAAAAGTTAGCAAGTCTCTACCTAAAACATTGATGTCGCAAGTTTGGTTTATTCTCACTGGCCACCAGATGTCACCAATACCCCACTTGAAAAGACAACTTGAACTAGTAAAGCATATTCTTTCTGAAGCTAGTACACAGCAATCAATTTTTGTAAATTTCATATTTAGTGTAAAATCCAAAAATATTTCATTATGGGGAAATTTATTTGAGAATAAAAATATCAAATGAAATAGTCACTGTCTTACTCAATGATGTTGATGTTCATTTAACAAAGATTGGAATTCCCACACCCAACCCCCCACCCCCAGGAAGACTCCACCTGGCAAGAGAATATGATCAGATTTGCACTTCACAACACAGTGTAAAAGAGACAGGGTGAAAGTTAACAAGGCTAGAAAAAGAGGCAGAATGCCTGCAAGGCTGGAAGTCAGCATCCAGTCTGTAAAGCTGAAGTACAGATTACAAGGCAGTGAAGTGATCTAGTGAAGAGAATGTTACATTGGATACACAGTAAAGACAGTGTGTCCAGCGGTGACTGTCAGAATCCAACTTGGGCATTCTGGGGATGGTGATGCTGGTGGTTGACAGATGAAGGACACAGAGCAAGTAGCTACAGAATGTGTCTATTTTAGGCAGACTCAGTTTAAAGTACATATGGTTTTCTCATTTCTCTCTATTTCATAATTTTCAGGACATTGGTTTCCATAATAAAACAGTAATCAGGATTCTCGTTGCCAGAAGTGAAATAGATCTGATGACCATAAGAAAGCGATACAAAGAGAGATATGGAAAATCCCTGTTTCATGATATCAAAGTAAGTCTCCTACAAGTGATTTATTTTGACCTACATTTTATTCTTTTTGATTATGAAACAAACTTTAAATAATTTCATATTGGACTCTAAAAAGTTTCATATTCTAACAGGGATCCTCTAAGTAGAACAGTCAGCCTTTAGTGCATCACCAAGTTCCAGTGGAGGAAATCACTGTCATCAACGACAGAACTTTATTTTGATGTGTTTTAAGCAAAAAATTATTAGGGTAATTATAGGAAATGTTAATCCCCTCATTGTACAATTGTAGAATTTAACTGATAAGTGATATTCTGAATTACTATAAGGCTCAGGAGAAATACATTTTACGGACACTATCGGGAAGAGGTTTCTCAGATCAGTTCAACAACCCTTTCTTAGCATCAGACAAGGTGGGCCAACTAGCCAATCACAAGAGAAATTGAAGAGATTTAATGAGAGTGATGTAAAATTCTACTTATCCTTAAAAATTAAATAATCATGGAAAAACTAAGGACACATGAGCTTTCATACTGTAGTTCAGATGAATGATGTGGGGTTTTGGGAAACACTGACTTTTATTTCAAATACATTGCATTTTTTTCTTTTCAGAATTTTGCTTCAGGACACTATGAGAAAGCTCTGCTTGCCATCTGTGCTGGAGATGCTGATAGCTACTGAGCAAAGAGACAGTTGCAGCACTGTGCAGTCTGCTTTATAGACATGTCAAAATGTAGATTTTGTGATAACTGCATTCTTAGTTGCATTGGAGCAAAATGACAGAATGATTTTTCTCTTATCTTTGAAACTATTCCAAGTCAAAAAAATCTATAGGTAAAAGTATGACTGGATTTTCATCATTTACTCAGAAACTCACTAAATTGTATATAAAAAAAGTCTTTGGAATATATTTTAATTAAATGTGAACTACTGATTTCCTCTAAGACTGCTTACAGCTACAGCTGTCCTTAGCATGCTTTGAAAGACCAAGGAAAGCACACTTTGTGGCCAAGCCTCTTCTAGGAATTTTTAATTGTACAAATACAATAAAGCTAGAGTGAATATCTAAAGCTGCCTCTGAAATAAAGATGCAAAACAGCAAATAGATATCTGCTTGTCAAATGTTGATATATAGACAACATATGCTGAAAAATAAGTGTTTGCATGCATGTGTGTGTGCACACACATTCAACAATCTCTAGCTTTTGTGTGCATATTAGTGGCTCGGCAACCACTTCCCCAGGCAAAGTAAGAAAAATACTTTCTCGTTAATATCTTCACTCCTTAACATCAAGCCCTATGGAAGTTATTATATGCTTTGTCATCAGTTGAGCCTGGTCCCATATGTGTAGCAAGTTTCAGTTAAACACTGCAAAAGAAAACTACTGAGGTCTGAATTGGGATCAAATCCACCTTGAGGCCCTAATTTAGCCAAGAATTAAAGCAAAGAATGTTTCTTGAGTTCACAAACGAAGGCTCCCAACACAATCAAGAGGAACAGAAAAGGCGCCATCAGAGGAAGGCAGTAGTTTATGAAGTCAGGCAAGGAAAATGAAGACATATGCAGTAAATCTAAGCTAGTGAAGTTAATGGAAGTTCTGTATACCACACAAAATGATGTTCAATAACCTGTAGCCCAGAGCTTTTTTTCTTCTACTCGTCTCATTAAAATAAAGAAGTCATCACAACTGAAAGAATGATACATTTTATTGTTCAGTGATTAGTCACAAACATGAACTATTCAAGAATAGAGTTTTCAGATTGCTTTCAAGAATTCAAGCAATAAGGAAAGGAGGGCCAGAAACAAATACAATAGAAAGAACAATTCAACCATGAAATTTGCAACAATCAATAACCGAAAGACATTTGACTTAACTAGGTGGGAGTGGCTGAATGTCTGGCATACTGTACAATCCATATGAAATGTTTTTGGTTTACATTCTCAGTCATAGCTGATCTGATATTGGAGGATCGGGGATGCCTCCAAGCAATTTTCTGCAGGAACCTCAGATGTTAGGGATTTGTAGGTAATGGAGAAGACTTAAGTTTGGTCATGTCATGTTACCAGGTATTTTATCCAGATTGGAGAGGAAGGGGAATCAAAGCAGATAACTATTTAGAATAAAGAATTTGGAGGGAACGTAGAGCATTTTCATTTGTAGACAAGGGCAATATCTTCAAGCCTTAACTAAGTCACATATAAAGCATTCTTTGTATAAGCCACTTCCTGAAACACAAAAAGGTAGGTGTATATCTTGACCAGCTGTTTTTGAGGAACACAGGACTGAGGTAATGTTCAACACTGTTGATATTTTCCTTTCACCAGAGTTGTTTCCTGAACGTTTCACTTAGTTGTTTAAATGCTGCCACAACATTGTCATCTTTTTGGCATAATTCTTCTAGGTACACCCTGTAAAAGATTAAATGCCTAATTAATACTGGTGTTAATACTGTCATAGTGAGGTGCTGTTGCTTCAAATAAAAGAACATTCACTATACCTGATGGACTTAAGAACAAGCATAAAGTCTCTGATTGAATCAAAGGCATCTCCCATATGTAAGCTGTGGTGCAAAAACAAAAAAAAAAAATAAATTACCACTGAATTTCTGACCTTACCAGAGACAATATAAAACCAGATATTAAAATCACAACGATCTGTTCATGCCCTTTGAACCCAGTATTTCACAATTGTCAGTCTAGTTAAATTGACTAAGCTAGTAAGAAGACTAATCATTTGACTAAATACGATTCTAATCTTCTCTTACAGCAGCACATTACCAAAGTTAAATATTTCACTATGTTAAGTAGTGCCAAAAATTAGTGATGTCACTAAAAATGATACCATCAGAAGCTGTAAAGGTATATCCTTCCATGGAGAAGTCATCTAAAACTTAGGCTAGCAGAAGGAAGAAATAAGACTATTAGCTATAACTGTATGGTGATGAGATAGAAAATAGAGAGCATTAATAAAGCAAAAGATGGATCCTGGGTTAGAGACAAAACTGACAAACCTTTAGCAAGAGAAATTTAAAAAAAGATATGAATAGGAGCATAAACCATTATGGGAACATTACTGCCAAAACACAAATAAAAATACTAGGGACACTTGTACACCCCCAAAAAATAAAAGGTGACACAATACGCAATTAAATACAAATCACTAAAACTGCCTTAAAAACTAGTGACTAAAAAGCCTGTAACAAACAAATTTTATCAGCTGCCAAAAATTTCACAAGAAAATCATAGACCAGCCACCTGACTACACTGGTGAGTTCTACCAAATATTTAAAGAATTTATACCAATCTTTTCCAAAAGGCTTTCTTACTCTGCTAGCAAAATCAGAGTAAAATATAACAAAAGAACACAATATCCATTGTGGATAATGATACAAAAATCCGACAAAATGCAGCAATGAGTCCACAGTTTTACACACTGAGATTCATAGCAGAAATGCATGGGTGACTCCACATAAAGTAATCAATGTAATATACCATCTTCATGGAAGGAAAGGTCACATCTCATTTATTTAACACAGAATCATCTGAAGAATGTCTTTTCATGATAAAAAAAAGACTAGAATACTAAGGAAATTCCTCAACATGATAAAGTCCATTTAGAAAGACTCACATCTAATATCATGATAAAAGACAGAAAATTTTGCTATTACTAGAAAAATACAAGATGGTCAGCTTTCACCATTGCTATTCTCTATTTTTCTGAAAATATTGCCAATGGGTATAAACTTTCCCTTTAGGATAATGAATGTATTTAGTGGCTAGACAGAAATAATGGTTACATACTGTGAATGTAGCAAATGTCACTGAATTGTGCACAGTAAAATGGTTGAATTATATATTAGTAAACATCTAATAACAAAAAGCATATAAGACAAATCCAAATAAATTTTATCATGGTAACACTTCTTAAATTGTTGCATCTTAATACTCTTATAAATCATAATGCCACATCGTAACATTCATTACGCAAACATACATATCAAAATACAAAAATCCATACCGATTACTCCGAGTCAATGAAAACAGTGAACCATGTCTATAGAAGTCCAGAAGGTATGCGTTCAATGGATATTTTCTTCCAGTACAATCATATTTATTCAAGCGAAATAAAGGAATGTTTCTTACATCGATATTAATTGTTCGTAACATAACCTGAGGATATGCAGATATTTTAGATTGTCAGCATTTTCTATTGCTATACACTAACCTATCATAAAACTTGATCATGCCTTATTACATACATTGATAAGTATGCCTTAACACATACATGTATCATATACATCTAGTTTTGTTTATTTTTTTAATTCATTTATTTGTGCATACAGAACTGGGGTACAAACAGAGTGGGGAGCAGAACAGGCAGATCGACGAAGTACACTGCTGAGGGGAGCAGCGGGCGGGTCAGGAAAGGTCTGCCACGCCATGTGGTCTCCTCCGGGGCAGGCGGGAATCGAACTCATGCAGAAGTGGCTTAGTGCTGTGCTTTAACCCGCTGCGCCACCAGGGAGGGCCTACATCCAGTCATTTTTTTAAAAATAGCCCAATGTTAGGGAAGTAGAGCCAAACAAACAAAAAAAAAAAACACTAAACTTGTCTTTAATGTAAATAACCAAAACTCAGTTAAAAGTTAAACTGAACACATCAAAACATTTTTGAGGCCCTCACTGGTGGAGCACAGCACTAAGAAGCTGAAACCACTTCCTCATGATTTCGATTTCCCGCCTGCCCCAGAGGTGACCACATGGTGTGGCAGACCTCCCTTGACCTGCCTGCTGCCCCCCACCCCCAACAGTGCACTTCAATCAACCTGTTCTGCTCCCCACCCACTCTGTCTCTGGTGAATCCTCTCACTGCCCCTGTACCTCTGGCCTGTACCCTAGTTATATGAATAAATAAATAAATTTTTAAAAAAAAAAACATTTTTTAAACCACAGAAATATTGCTAATTAACTCAGATATCTGAAGTATCATTTTTATAACCTTGGAAGCACATTTTTTAAGACCATGTTTTCCTGAAAAATTATTTTTACATTTACAAATGTGTGTCGACAGCTCATTTCATTTCCCTAAACATTTTTCTATTATACTGCCTTTAGGAGTACAATGATATGATTTCACAATACCATGACCACAATCAGATCTATTTCCCACCAATATGTCAACAATAAACTGTCTCATGAGTCCATCTCACTACTCCCAAGCATGAGGCAGTAAAGGACGTAATTCCTATGATAATTGTAGAAATCAAAGTGTTCATATGAATATTTACTGACTATCTTTGCAATATTTTTTCTAAGTGATAATATTGTGTTATGACATTATATGAGCTAATGAATGCATAACTATAAATCAATACCTGAATATACTACATCAAGGTCACCACAAATAATCCAATTCCATACTTAATCATCAGGTTCTCTCTTACTCTACCATACACCACTATTAGATGGACAGAAAGAGGGGCAGAATTACAAAGTCTCTTCAAATGGTTTATAGTAGAGCTGATAAAAGATTGCCATGCATCTTAAACTTAATGATTTTGAGATGACTCCCAAGATGAGACATTTCCAACTGCTGATATTGAGAAGGTAGCTTTCTTTTCAAATTCAATGTGTCTATTATAAACTATTGATATATTTTTTAAAGATTTCTTCTTCTACTTCAGTGAAAATTAATACTGCTGTGGACTAAGGCTAACATTGTTTGCTTTCACTGAACACTTAGTTAATCTCTTAAGAGAATAAACAGAATAAAGGAAAGTCTCATATCAAATTGACTTACATCATTTAGTATATCGATATCAAATAAATCCTGGTCAGTTATGTTGGACAAGCATGCAAATGGGGAAACAGCAGTTCTGCTTTCAGTCCCAGGCATCAGATGAGAGACCAGCTCAGAATCTTGACATTCTTCTCCTGAAAAGTCTAATAAAAAATTGGAAAAAAATCAAAGAAATTATTTTAAAGTTATTTCCCTACAAGCATAATCAAAACAAATGTTGCTTATGCCTAATTCCTAGACAATTAAAATTTCTTTACAAGGAAATACTGAATATTAAAAGTACTCATTATTGAGAAGGCTTTCTTTCTGAACTGAATATATTTTCATCAAACACCAAACTCATTCCTCTGTTGTTTTTTTTAAGTGGTGTTTCAGTATCAGTTAATTCCTCTCAAGACCTATGGAACTACAAAAGCTGCAAACAATCTCATAATAGGGCTGAAATTGCTCACTTTCTTATGTCAATGCTCTTATTCATATTCCAACAGAAGTGGAAAACTCCTATTTTCATTAAGGAAAAATAACAGAGAAACATTCATATGGATCTCACTCATGTCACCCCAGGCCTGAGTGGTGAATTTTAGAAGGAATGAAGTCGTTATACTCAAATGGTTCTCTCAATAGACTACTGCTGCCCCTTCTTGTTCTCACTTTCTCTCATGTTTCTCTTTGAATGACTGCCTTGCCTATTGCTCTCTTTACATCTGTGCTCTATATAGCCGTCTCTTCTCTGCCTTACTGTCTTTCTCTGCTTACTGTTCTCTTCGTTTCACTGTCTTAATTTCTCCTGCCCTGATTTCCCTCTCTCCCATTTCCCCCTTTTTCTACACAGACTTCTCTTTGCCTGCCTCTACCCTTCAGTCCACTCTTTCAACTTGTCTCCTGTTTCAGGTGCACTTGCCTCCTGAGATGATACATTCCTGAACTTCCCCTGTTTACATGGTAAATTACATGGTAAAAACACATTCTGTGTTCAGTTAAAATACAAAAACAGTCTTTCTTTCTTTGAAAGGATAGGCAATACTCAGGACTGTGCTTCATGAAACATGCTTGAAAATGAAAGACATGCTCTCCAACTTATCTTCACCTATAAACCACAGACCCTTGAAAGATGACAAGAGATCTGAAGCATCTAGAGGGGCACAGGAAGAGGGGTAAAGTGGCATGAGAGAAGAAAGAGCACAATGGACTATGGTGGAGGACTATGGGTACATTGGTATACCCCAGTGACCACACTTGAATGGATAAATCCTATATCAAAATATTAACAAGGATGGTACTTCATTGAAGAAAAAAAACACTTCCTTAGATCATATCTCTCTCATTCTGATGCTCCTGACTCCCTCCATCATTCATAATGATCCTTATCGTTACATTGTGTCCAGACGGATAATACAGAATGTCCCCATTTCAAGATCAGTTGTTCGAATGTCAATCTGCAATCTTTGTTCCCAAGTACTACATAATATAATGCATTCATACACTCCCAGGATTAGGACCCAGACATCTTTGGGTGAACCGTTATCCTGTCATAGAAATCATTCCAAAGTAAATAGAGTGGAATGATAGTCATACTTGCTCTTTGAAATCCAAAATGCAGGCAATTGCTTGAGGTATTGGAGTCGCTTTCCATGAAGTTGAACCATTACTAATTTCTGATTCCATGACTAAATGAACAGAGCATTTACTCCTTATCCTTCATACGCCTTCTACATTACCACAAAATAACCTGCCCAGAAAATATGGGTAAACTAAAGCAACTATTGTTGCAGTTTCTCCCTGCTTCTTAGGGAAGTAAGGGAAAATGGCATTTTATCACCTTCGCTTGTATCTCTTAGCTACCCTTCCTCTTTCCATCTTGGGGTAATGAGTGTATTTTCAGCTTCCAGTGTTTTTACTTTATCTAGCATAGGTTACTGATTTTCTCCCCAACTTGTTATTTTCCTTTTCACTTTATTTGTTCTTTCTTCAAACACATTAACTGTGCCTTAACTTCATTTGTTGTCATTGATTATCCTCAAGGAAGTGTCAACATATGGGTGACCATTATAATGCCAATACTCCATTTCTTTTATTTCTGAAGTTATTCATATTTGAAAATTTAACTACATAAGCATGCCATATCTACAAAATGACACATGGAATCGAAAGGAAAAGAAATCGTAAAATAAATCATCTGTTAGTAAACAATAACACTGGAAAACAAGTATTGAGCATTTAGTGCCAAATCAAATCCATTGTGACTTATTGAATTCCAAATAACATATGCTGCTTCCAAAATAAAATATCTATATATAGACCTGATGGAGTAAGTTTCTTGTATATTCTCTTGCAATGGTTCTATGGTTATTTTCCAACATTTAGTTTTATCTCAAACATGTATTTTTCCTTAATAGATTTCACATTTGTTTATGTATTGTCTATCTTACCAATTTCTGAGAGAGGCAGTTGGTATTCTTTTCTCAAGTCAACCAACTTAGAAATCATTAAAAGGAAGGAAGCAAAATTATTTTGGGTTCTTTTGTTGTAATCCTTTATCATTTTAACACAGTTCCAGGGAAGATCACGTAGAATCACCTAGGAATAATGAAATGCATGAGCATGAAAACTCTTCAGAGGCATCCTAACCAAAAACTAAGACACAGTAACAAAATAAGTCTTGAGTAGAAATAAACTATTAATCATCTTATCAAAGGAATTTTAGGTACAGGTTACATGGTGGTATGCAGATGATAGTCTAATTTTATAGCCAATATTATAGCTGGATCATGTCATATACCAATTTTTAATAATGGATTTTAGTGACTTCATAACATTACCACATAAATATGCTAAAATTCACCTAATGATTCCCTTGCTGCTAGACATACAGTGGTACAATCTTCAATTATAGATAATCTTGATGTTAAAAGTTGAATTGTGTCCCTCAAAAAAGAATGTGCTTAAATCCTAAACCACAATACTTCAGAATGCAGACTGACATAGTTAAATGAGATAAGGTCGTACCAGAAGGCCCCAATATCAACATGACTAGAAATCTTACAAACAGGGATAATTGGGTCCAGAGAAAAATGCCATGTGAAAATTGAGACAAAGATCATGCCCTGTATCTGCAAGTCAAAGCCAATGTTAGCCACATCTAGCAGAAGCTAAGAGTCTTGAACAGATTTTTCTCTGTCTTCAGAGACAACTTTTGGTACCTGCTGGGACTTTGCCTTCTGGTCCATGTCTAGATCTCCCACTTGTGGTAATTTTCTATAGTTGTATTAGGAAACTAATTGATATGTTTTATCACTTTGAGTTACGTATTTGATTAAATTTTAGAGTAGCAACACTAAATTTGAAGGCAATTTTAAAGTGTTGTAACAAAGCTGCTAATTCCAATCTTTGCCAAATTAACAGGTAAATCATAGTATCTTTTTCATTTCCATTTTATACTGTTGATGAGTTCTTACATTTGTGAATTTTTGTACGACCATACATTTCATTACAGTGGTTTTGCATTTGAAGATTTGCTAAATTGTCATTAGTTGTTGTCATCATCCAATTGTTTATTTTTCAATAGCCACTGTTTTCCTCCATAAATAGTAGCTATAACAATTAAAAATAAGAGCTACCATTTACTGAGTACATTCCAACTATCACTTTTTATATGTAGCAATATACCAAGTATTTGAATTTGATGTTGTTATGCTTTCCAATTTACAGACATTAAATTGGGATCAAAGATAAATGAACTTATGGGTGAAAATTCAATTTAAAAAGATTAGATAAATTCTTAAGAACATCTATGCTATGCTAAGAAGAGAAGGAATCTAGTGGGAGTATGCCTTTAAGATACTCTCTTGTATGCCATGCTCAAATCTGTTCATCTCTCCAATAACTTTACTTCTTGCCATTTTGGAATGAGTAGAATTCCCCTTGTATTTTCAAGGAGCTGTTAAACTGAACATCCATGTCTTCTTGTTTCAAATTGTTACAGTGACCATAACTTTCCTCGCCAATGTAATTTTGTTTGAAATCCTCTTCAGTGTAAGGGAAAAAAAATGTTGCTAGCATACAAAAAATTATGTATCAGAAATAAGGCTTTCCAGTTTTTAAGTAACCCTGAATCCTTCCTGTACCTGAGATCTCACTGTAGGTAATGAACAAAGGAATGACAAAGAACTGATTCCAGTAAGTGGTAACAATATTGTATCAGAAAAATAGGACTCACACCAAAAAAAAATAGAACTTGAGTGTACATTTTTTCCTTACCTCTGATTCAAAAAACTTGTTTTTATTGTCTTCCACAGAGGGATGTAGATATTTTCTTCCAAAAATATTAGCCAACACTATCAGTAACTGTTCCATCACAGCCCTAGAAAACCTCTTTGGCCCTGTTAAAAGCAAAGAGTTTATTTTTCCAAAACTTCACAGAAAAAAATTTTAGGAGAACAGCCAATTTTAGATGACCATATTTAAAATTTTAATTGACTTTGCATGTGTTTAGTGAAATCTTGATTACAGCACTACTGATAACAAATTAATTCGTTCCCCATTTTTACAAATGGTTGGTATCCTACATATTCTGAGCTTTAAGAATCTAAAGGAAATGCATGCCTTTTGCAATAACATGGATGGAGCTGGAAGGGATTGTGCTAGTGAGATAACCCAAAAAAAGAAAAATACCAAATGGTTTCACTCACATCAGGAGTATAACGAATCAGGGAAGAAAAAAGAGGGAGACTAACAGATGCAATAGAGTGAAAATGAAAACAATGAACAGCTATAAACTGGAGACATTTTATGGGGGGTTAAAGAGGAAATGGGATTGGAACTGGCGTGGAAAGAGTGCACAGGACTGTAATGATGGCACATGGGTGAATTGGTGGGAGGCCCATGGGGATTACAACTGAGATGGGAAAATGTACAAAATGAAGAGTGATGTAAAAAATAATAAATGAATAAAGGAACGAAAATATTCTTTCATTCAAAGATTTTATCATCTGATCTCTTAGAAGTTTAAGGCCTCTTTTAAGCTACTTCAATTATTTCATTCCTGTTACTATATATATGTTTCCCCAACCTTTTGCACTGAGTTTAGAATATCACTATTTCTCTATATAGTTTGTCATCATGTAGAAATTGCAGTAAAAGGAAAATATAATTGAGGAAAATAAAATTGTTACAGATGGCAAAATCTTTACTTTGGAAAGTATCACTGCCATATAGTATATTGCAGCTGATAATTACATACGATAAAATTTCAGTAAGTGCATGTAATGACAAAAAGGAAGCCAAAATATAGTGATAGAAAAAGTCAGAAAGAAATGGGACATCACCCACAGTGAATGTAGGCTTCAGGAATGAGTGGAGCGTGTGAGTACAAGTGTGTGCTCTGTGTTAGTGTGCAGACATGTGTGTGCACTATCTAATGAGTTTGAAAATTAACATTACTTACCATGTCTGCTTTCTGGAACACACAACTTGTGAAATAAACCATCTATGAATAATCTTATAAAAACAAAATTTGCTGGCTCATGGTAGTGTAAATGAGTCACAAGTCCAGAAAATCCAATGGGGATACATTCTTGATTCAGGTGACCCTAAAAATCAGTTTGAAATTTTAAACCTCAGCTTTTATATCTCAGAAATATCAAACAAATAAGCCACTAATAAAGACCATGTTCAGTAAAGTACAATTAAATATGTGAACTTACTTTAATGAAAATAGCTATAAATCTACTTTAATGAAAATAGGTATAAATCTTACCTCTGTGATCAAAAATTGCAAAGCATATATGAAATATAATTTGATGATACGCTTGATCTTTGGTTTCTTGAAGGAAATCAATGAATGTTCGAGAGCTGATATTGCCTATATGTACAGATATCAAAATATCAAGTTATATGAGGATTTATAGCATGTTTTTCAAATATGACAATGAAATATTGCTATTCTAGATTATGGAGCTACTATATATATGTATGCATATATCATTTCAATTCTACACATTCTTCAACCCTATTTGTTCTTTGAAGTACAACTTTTATGTTATTCGATGAGAGGTACTTACAAAAATTTCATTGACTAATGTACACAGACCCCAGGCAGTTATAAAAAGGAGATCATAGGCTAATTTTCCATATATTTGAACACATAAAAGTAACTTTGTGTTGAGTAGGTATATTTCAAAATAAATCTTACAAAGAGTTTATTTACAGTACATTATGTAGGCCCTCCAGTTTATACAAGTCATGGTAGAATACAGATGAAGTGATCATTACATTTATGAAAGTATCTTAAAATACTTGAAGCAAAGTACCTTTGCTTTGGCATCCTCTTGGTCATCTGCTTTGGCAGCTAGCAGCATGAGTCTGAGAATGAATGTTATGCTTAAAGGAAATTGACCTTTCAGTTTGGGGACATCAGATCTTAAGAGTCTTTCTATCTTAGGTAAAGGCACACCATAGAAGAAGACATTGCCTACAAGATCTTCTCCACGTCTTCCTGCCCGACCAGTCATCTAAAGAAAACACATAATTTTCAATAATTTCAGACTTTGTCTCTATAAATGATTAGTGTTCAACTTGTACAAAGTACAAACTTCCTGAGCATCCTTTTTGTTTAATACAGTAATATTAGAAAAGTTCAAAATCTCATTTTATGTTGAGAACACATTAAACTCTGTATATCTTTATTTATTAATACCTATGCTTAAAAATGAATATTTGGGAGGGTCAATTTCAGTCTTAGAAATATATTTCTAGAATCCAGTCTAAACTAGGACTAGAATAGACAATATCTGGCACCAACTAGATCCTCAAAAGTGGTTGCCTCTTCAGAGTAATTGTTTAATTCGAACAATATTCATCAAACAGGAATATTCAAGGAAATAAATCTATTTTGTGATTGACAGCTTAGCGCATCTGTAAATATAATCGTATTCAAGTTATGTACAGAAGACCCATTCTCAAACATTTTTATAGTCATTGTTTCAGAACATAGAAAAATATTCCGACTAAATAAAGTGGATGCTCCAGTTTCCTATATAGACAAGCAGAGGGAAAGATGTATAGTATAAATACCTGACGAAAGTTCAAGCCATCCAAATACATAGAGTCTTCAGTGAAAACGACAGATTTACATGGCATATTAATCCCCAATGCAAGAGTTGAAGTAGCTATTACCACCTATGGTGCAGGTTTAAAAAATCAGAAAAACATTACATAGATTACAGAGATGTACACGCATTAGATTTTTACTAACTTAGAAGACCGTTAAAATCTAATGTGACAGAAAAATTCAAGCTCCATATCTTCTTCTGTGATACATAGTTGTTTCATAAATATATGAACTCACTTCATCTCCTTACTCTTACATTTATCTAACATTACCAAATCATAAAATGAAGTGAACTCAAAGGTATTCAGTCAGGATCATCATGTTTTCCCCCATAAAGGAGATTAATTTAAAATTAAATACATAGACTAGAATAAATTCCAGCTAATATAGCAGAGCACCCAAAAAGAGATACAGAGATCAAGTGAACAGAACTAAGAAGAAATCATCTTGCATGGACGATTTACCAGAGAAGAGCTAAGAGTATACAATGAAAGGCAGTCTTCCAGAAATAGTATTGGGAAAACTGGACAGTCAAATTTAGGACTTCAACATAAAACCTGAAGCCATGAGATATACAGAAGAAAACAAGAGGCAAGTTCTTTGACATAACCTTAGTGATGTATTTTCAATGTCAAAAGCAACAAATGGGATTTCAAAGTAAAAACCTTCTGCATATTGATGCTATCAAACAGAATGGCAACCCACAAAATGAGAGATGATATTTGTGTGTCATGTATCTGAAAGAGGCTAACATCAAAAATCCGTAAGATGTTTATGTTTGTCATCAAAAAACAAAATAAACGACCTGATGAAAAAGTGGGCAGGAGATAAACATTTCGCTAGACATAAATATTCAAAAGACACAGGAAAGATTGCTCTCATCATTTACCATTAGAGATACAAATAAAAAATCAAAATGAGTCATCACTAGAACTTGTCAAAAACCAAAAACCAAGTATTGTTGAGGATGTAGACAAAACAGAATTATTTTTGGAATCACCACTGTGTAAAACAGCATGCCAATTACTTCACTTCTCGGTATTGTTCTAAAGAACAGTTTTGAAATGATATACTCATCTCTATCTTCAATTCACCATTAGTTATGATAGCCAAGCAACATTTGGAAACAACTTAAGTGCCTATCAATGGATCAAAGCATAAAGAAGTAGTATGTGTATCTTCACATATATAAACACACACGAGACCAATCGGATATAGAAAAAACAGATGGAGCCTCACAATTGTTGATAACCAAGATGATTGAGTTATATACGTAAATTCAAGTAATAACAATGAACACTAAAAGCCTTTGTTAATGTGTGGCAAAGAAGCAAAGCAAATGATCAAACAAAGCAAAAACCATGTGCCTGTTATAATAACATGATGATTGCCAGAGGGGATGAGTAATGGGTGTTAGGTGGAAGAGGTAGAGGGGTGAATATTGGTGGTGGATAGAAAGACTTTTGGTGGTCATCACAATGTAGTACATATGGGTGTTGAAATATAAGGCTATACACCTGACATCTATGCAAAGGTATAAGTCAATGTCATCCCAAAACAATTTAACATTTTCAGACTGTTTCATAAATCATGCATGTATATATACACATATATATACACACATACATACACAATGGAGCATTCGTAGAATGTCTCATACAATGCCAATTAGCAAAATGCTGATGTCATACTATCAGGCAGAATGAAGAGTATCCCATATTGTGTGCAATATATAGTGATGTAGACATTTATCTAACAGCATAACAATGTGCATTACATTGTTAGTATAGAAATTATAGGGACATTAGATAGAGTGTGTTCCCTAAATGCTGTAGGGTACATTTCTTCCCCCAACTTAATCCATAGAAATAATAGGCTATTGCTAGTACAGCTATACACAAATGTCACCGACCTTAACATAATTCTGTCTAAAAAGCAACTCGACAACTTCTCGCTCTGTGTGTTCCATTGAACCATGATGAAATCCAATGCCCCTCTGTAACAAATCGTGCAGCTTGTAGCCTTGTCTTGTTTCCATCAGTCTATTGAAGGTCTCCGTTAAAGTCTGAAATCACCAAAGTTTGAAGATAATGAAATGATGTATCCCTGACTTTAACAATGAGGTATGAGTTATACGATTGTTGAGTTAGGCACACTTTGAAAATGAATAGTTGTCTGGTAGTTCTGTATGCATAAATCTTGTGCCTTTTTTGTCTCTATGTCAATCACTATTATTACTTCTCTTTCCCTTCTCTCCTATCTCTTATTCTCCCCTACATTCTGCCTCTTTCTCCCTCTTCAAGTTAAAGGAAGCATAAACAAATGACAACCATTTTCATGTAGTTCTTTGATGGCTACATGAATGACAATAACAAAAAAAAATCTTGAAACATGGTTGCATTTGAAGATAGGGCCTTTACAGAGGTTAACTAAGTCACTATAGTAGACCTGATCCAACATGTCTGATATTCTCCTAAGGAAATTGTACACAGAGAGTATACTATGGGAAGATCGAGAAAATCATCTACATACAATCAAGAACAGAAATATGTGCAATTCTTTCCGCTCAGCTCTTAGAAAGAACCCATCCCACCAACAACTTGTTCTTGAACTTCTGTCCTGCAAAACTGTAAGGAAAAAATGTTTCTGTTTAAATCACTTGGTCTGCATTATTTTGCTACAATAGCACCAGCAAAGCAATACATATGTCCCAAGTTTACCTCAATTTCTTTTCTCTTACCTCATCATCCACAGCTGTATCATTGGCATAACTGCAGTCTGGAGAAATTTCAGTATGCTCATCACAATACTTATCTATTTCCTTCATTTCAGCCTTCGATATAATAATTCCTTGATGCTTAGCAGATGTATCTAAATCAGAAGAACTGAATATAAAGTATTGGGAAACCAGTTAATGTACTGGGTATAGCACTTGTTTTCTTAAGAACTAGGTAAAAAGAATGTCAGTTTGTTTAGGCCCAAAACACAATTACCTCTATTCAGGCCTTAACTAAATTCAACTTGACTAAAGTAAATCATTTGCTTAACAGCTTGCCATGCAATACATTTTAAATGTGTGCATGAACATGCACTTAACAAGAAACAGAAGCACATTGTGGACCTGTCTCACATCTCATGTTAGAAAAATATTTATATTGTATTTCCAGTAAAATTGTATCAGTGACATTAAACTTCATGAAAGTCAATTTTCCCAGTAACTGCACATAAATGCAAAAGCTTTAATAGTGGGATAAATACAGAAAATTTTAGTTGTTAGATTCTCTTCTCTCTATCACTCAGTTATGATCTTCTCTAGATGCCAAATTAGCTTTGGGAAAACTTTTTTTAAATCAATAGTTGTTTAGGTGGAATGATATATTCAGACTACAAGAAACCATACTTCATGTTAGTAAAACAGATTTGAGTTATAAAGAGAACTGGACACAGAGTGTATTAACTGCTTAATTCCACAATTCAAGTAGAAACACTCACGAAGCATTTTTCCTTTGACACCTCTTCACTTTCAAAGCATCCAGGTTCAGTCCTTTTTGTTTTTTAGACATTGAATCATTTTGAGTATTTTCTCTTTCTTTCAAATTGCGAAAAACTCTTAAAGCTGATGCTTCCACACCATAAATGTTAAATCTAGATTAAAAATATGCAACGGTTATTGAAAATTGATGTAAACCTGTTTGCTTCAATAAACAGATCATGACAAGAAAGTGTTTAGGTGCTATATTCTATTTCCATTTATTTTGGCCCTTTCAATCCACAAATCAGCGTGTGTGACTAAAGGATCACGATTTTCTAGACAGGCTCATTTTCAAATTACACCAAATAAAATGATTGGCTACGTAAGGGTTCTTCCTTTACTGTGTTAAAACTGCTTCCTTCCATTCTAAAACAGGGGCCTGGGCCCTCCCTAGTGGCACAACAGGTTTAGAGCGCAGCATTATGAAGCTGTCCGCAAACATTGCAGCACAAGTTCAATCCCCCACCAGGGAGCTGACCCACATGCCATGCCGGGCAAACCTCTTCTGACCCACCCACTTCTCCCCTCGGCAGTTTCATTTAGGAGACGTCATGTTTGGTTTCAAGTCATATGGAAAAAATTAGATCCAAGCGCCAAATCCCTCCCTCACCCACTACACTTTGAGGCCAATTTCCTTTGTGAAAATGTGTTTGAAAACAGTCCATTGCATCACCATTGCATCACCACTTGTACTAAGTAATGGGCCCGGTAATTCCACAGTACTAAACTAAGAAAATTTCCTTGCTTTCACACTATGATAGCCAACTTGGTGTAATAATTGGACTTCAATATATAAACAGATTTAAAATTCCTCTAATACTATCAATCATATGATCTTTGCCAATTATGCTTTCAAAAGACTTCATTTTATACAATGTAAAATATATTAAGTCAAATTCAAATGTCCACAGAAAACATCACTCACATAAAAAATATTGCAGGCAGTCTGTCCATTGTTTTCAGTTTGTCCACAAAATGTGGAAACATTTCTTGCTTTGTGCTTTCTGCACAGTCAAATGTTTGAGGTTTAAGAAAGTTCAGTAACTGCTCCATCTGAATAAAATGATGGGGGGAAAAAAAACAGATCATTAAGTATTTGTGATTGTGGCTAAAAGATAAGAGCTGACATGGATATCTAAAGTCCAAAAATAAAACAAACTTGGGCCACTTCAGCAGCCTGTATGAATCTGGAGATTATCATGAGCAAAATAAATCAGAATAAGACAAATACCAAATGGTATCAATTGTATGTAGAATATAGTGAAAGCAAAGGGTCAGAGAAAGTCAAAGTAAAAAAAGCTACCAGAGGGGAGAGGTGTTAAGGGCGAACAAAATGAGGAATGGAGCGCAGTGGGTGGTGGACGAGGGGCATCTGGTGGGTGCAATGTGGGAAATTCCAGACTTACAAGATACAAACGAACTTATATATGGTCATATAAATCAGTCTCCTTGATTTGAAAAATGGTGGCCCTGATGCAGGATGCTCTGTCCAGAATTTTTAAGAACACCAACCAAAAGATAGGACTAAAGAGAGGACTAAACTCCACAGGTGATGCAAAATGCAGTCATTTGACAAGCTTCATTGACTAAAACAGCAATTTTTGTGATAGGTGGTGTTCAGACTTTCAGTTCAAGTAGTCAGTGTGCAATTAAAAAGTAAAGCAAAGCATTTTTTGTTTGTTTGTTTTTAAGATTTGTGCATACAGAACTGGGGTATAGGCCAGAGGCTCAGGGAAGGCTGGAGGCTCAGAGGCGGCCAGAGGCTTCACCAGAGACAGAGTGGGGAGCAGAACAGGCAGATCGAAAAAGTACACTGCTGAGGGAAGCAGCCGGCGGGTCAGGAGAGGTCTGCTACACCATGTGGTCACCTCTGGGGCAGGCGGGAATCGAACTCATGCAGAAGTGGCTTTAGCTTCTCAGAGCTGTGCTTTGACCCGCTTCGCCACCAGGGAGGGCCACATGGGTTTTTGGTTTGGTTTTTTTGTTTTTTTTTTCCACATGGGTTGTTTTATATGAGGAAAGAGAAGACAGTAAAGAGGGATGGATTGAACCATTTTTTTTAGTACCTGAGATCAGATCTTAAGCAAATCTTGGGGCCTCAAAAAGTTAAAATAACACGAGATTGCATGTTAGTATATGTGAATGTAATGGGCCATATTGCTTCCCTTATAACTGTTCAGTGGGTTAGCTCTAAGTAACTTTGGACATGTAAAACTGTCCATACAAATAGAGATGTCTTTTTGAATGCATCATCAAGTCTTCCTATCATCAGGAAAGAAGTTGGCAAGGAGAATATGGAATATTTGAAACATTAAAGATAAATACTTTAGAGTTCGCTTATTTATGTAATTTGTTAGCTGTGAGAAACTGGGCATTTACCTATGGACAAATAATCATGCTTGGGGAGATGTTAGTGGGGACAAAAACCAAGAAAGTAGCCAGTGGTGTCAGAACTTAGAAAATTCGTATCTTCTGTGACAAAAAAAAAAAAAAATAAAAATACCTTGACTTTCATCACCTCAGTGTAAGTCAAAGAAAACATGGCACCAGCATGTGAGATCCTACAAGCTAGAGCTCAAGCCCTTTGCATTTCTCTACATCTAGCTTAACAAAATTGTGGGTAAAATATCAGTGCATGGTTACAAGATAGCCATCTTCAAATCTTCAATTATTTTATGGCTGATTCGCCAATGTCTAAGTGAAGAAGTACAATTCAACCCAAATCTTTTCTAGTTAAGTGAATGTAAATAGTTTTGATTACCTTGCTTGGGTCCTGCTCAACCCACCAAATCATCTCCTTTTTAAGTTCCTCTTCATATTTCTTCACATCAGCCTTTTTGATGACTAATTTATTTTTGAAGCAGCTGAATTCTTCTGGGTCCAATTCCTTCATGATGAAGAACCACAAACCCCCAGGAAAAACATGTTATCATCCCTTTGAAACTTTCCGTAAAACTCACTATAAAGTAGATCCCTCTAGTGATCAATACCCATTCAAAGTCATTTTAAAAAGTTGACTGCATTTAAGGTGGTAGTTTTCTTCTCTATGTAATGGTTACATATTTTGTTTTATTAGAAACTAATGATATACTCAAAATTGCAGTTGGAGTTAGAATCAAAAATCTGATTTTTAAATGCTTAAAAATACTTGTTTTATCATCGCAATCCACAATTCTAATCTAAGTACTACAAAAAAGTAATTCAGTTAATTTCAGACCAAGTCTACAAAGTAGACCTCATCTTTAGCAGGGAGAAAAGTAGCTAGAAAATATTTACTTTGCCTGTAGTCTATAATCTTAACGAAAATATGCTGCCATTAGCTATACCAGAATAAATGTGCTTCAATTTGCTCATTATCAATGAACTTTCATTATCAATGAATTAGAATTAGAGAATTCATTGTGCACACACCCACCTGCATTCTTGGCCATTCTGGCCAAATGTGTACCATGGCATCATAAAGCAGTACACTTTCTTTAGGGGAAAGTCCAAGGTCTGCAGGGATTCCACACTTCTTTATCTAAAAAGCAAAAAAAATAAAAATTACTAGTTGTCTCTAATAGATTTTTAGCAATACAGGCAATCATTTTTCAAAGTGGTTGCTACTCACATGACTGACAGTAAGTGCAGCACATGGGTGATAATGTTCAATGATGAATTCATCATCCTTTAGGGAACACACAAACTTCTCAACATCATTGAATCGCTCTTTGTGCCATACTGTGAATGCAGGATTAAAATGATCACTAAGAGCTGTTTACTTACAAAACAAGGAAGTGATGTGATGTTACAATTGTAAGCAGAGAGAGTATGGACTGAACCCAGTGGAAACAGAACTGTGCATTGGGAGAAACTCTTGGAGGATTCGATGTACTTATACTGTGTTATGAATATCTATGTCTTTTTTCTAATGCTTGTTGTCTTCAAGTAAGGAATTGACATTTCAAAATAGGTATTTTTTTTTTGGAAACTTTGGATCTTCACGTATAATAGATCCATTAATCACTGGCTGTTTGGATTTTAATGTCACGTCTCCTATGGCCAAGTCACTTGCTTTATTTTCTTTTAAGGGAAAATTGACTTCAGAGCTATAGTAAAGAGCAATTGATACTTTAATAGTTTGCAAGTATGTGCAGAGTTCAAGAATTCTGAGCTCTCCTTCTTATGTTAAAATACTCTTACCCAGTCTAACATTGTATGATGATTTGTTGGTTCCTTTATTTGCTTGTTTCTTTGAATCTTCTGAGACATTTTGTGATGGTTCAGAATTTGTCACTGTGTTTTCAACATGTTGCCAGTATCGTTTAGTTAACACCAACCACCTAATTATGAAAAATAAAGTGTTATAGTCACACACACACACACACACACACACAAATAACTTCAAGAAAAAGTCAACATAAAATTTTTACCTTGTAACCATGTAAATTATATTTAATCAAAGAGTGAGGAGATACTTTCTAGTTAAATATAACTGAAGAAAAGCATTGCTTTGTATATGTTTGTGGTTTGTGTTTGTTTGCTGTAGCTATTACTTTAAATAATCCATGAGTGGGTAAGATTTTCCATCTATTACTGGAGACAAGAATGAATATATGAAATTCAGACTTACTGAGTGAGATGGTCAGGATTACTAATAGTAGCAGAGAGTGCCAGAAAGGGACACCGAATCATGACAAGAAGATGTTCCCAAACTTCTGCTCCAACATCTCCTCCAAGACAATGAACCTGGGGAGATGGTTATACAGATTCAATAGAAAGCCAGTTAACTTTCTCCCCAAAATGTTAATAGATTGTGTTCGCAGAAACTTCTACTTCCTGGTCTTCCCACGTTCAGGAACGTTTATTCAACTACCAAGTTTGTTGGGGTCCAACATAATTGAGAAGAATAAGAAAATTTGAGATTTCAACGACAGAAAGTCTACAGATGGCTTCGTCATCATGTATTACAACAGCCTGAATTGTAAGAGCATTACACACTGTGTTAGTAATCTTCAGATACAAAACAAGTGAAAATAATAGCGAAGATTAAGGGTGGGGTGGGGGTGAGGGGGTGAGACCCACAATTGAAATGAAGAACAAGGAACCACTATATGCCAGAGACATTTTATGCGGGTAGCGTGGGGAATGGGATAAAAATGCTGGGGGTAGGGTGGTGTGTGCACAGGACTATAGTGACGGCATACAGTCATCACTATAGTGTGAATTGGTGGTTGGAGTCCACGGGGATTACAACCCAGATGGGAAAAGGCACAAAAAGAATGATGTAAAAGTCAATTAAAAAAAAAATGAGTGATTGTGCACAAAGAAGATATTGGTTAAATTATGTAGATTGTCAGAGACATAACTCTAAAATAAAGCAGCCATGTCACTAATCTCATAACAGCAGTAGAAGTAAAAATAACCGTGAACAAGTTGACTTTTGCATAGGTACATATTCAACATGAGAACCCAAGAGGTTCCTGCCTTTAGTGGTGAGAAAGTGAGTAGTGATTGACTATAATTAGCTGCCTCAATGATAGATGCAATTTCAAAGGTATATAGATAAGAACTTTGTAAGCCTTGGCCCTAAATTATTTTCTGTAAAATTCAAATAGCAGTTAACTTTTTAGTAAAAAATGATCCTTGCATCTGTTGCACACTATCTTTGACATAATAAACAAGGAAAACCTAGAGAACTAGATAATTCCAAAAAGCCCTGATTTTCCCTGAAGCATTTATCCTTTATAGTTGACAATGGAACAGTCACTGAAGGGAAAGCATTCAAAAATTAGTGGCCAAAAGGAAAAAAAGAAAAATGCATATAAAGGACAACAAATCTCTTCTATATCTGCCACTTTACAACACCTATAATCCACACCCTCCAGTAATGGAATTGATGGTTTTTTTAAGAACTAGCCACACAACTATCATCTTTACTAAATATACAAGTTACATATTCCATAAACAAAAATGTGTAATCAGGTGAACAATGTAAGGAAGCATACCTCATCAAAAATAACATATTTCATCTTTTTGACCCACTCTTGATTGTGAGGAGATAACAAGAGTATTTCCAAACACTGAGGCACTGTCACCAGTATCTGTTTTAAAAAATGAGAAACATCGCCTTGATTTTTGTAAAAGTCAAAACTTTAGCTTCTGAACAATTGGGACGAATTAGATTTATGTAGGATATGTGTTGTTACAAACATGCAAAAGAAGTTAACCTAGTTTTATTATAAAAAAATTATACACTACAGTAGATTGAGGATATAAAAACACTTGAAATCATTGCCATTGAAGAAAGCTACTTGCTCATTTTGGAATTTTAGAAAAGAAAGCACTCTACTTTGTATAGAAAATACAAGCATTTAGTTAGTAAACAATAAAGCATGTAAATCACACAAATATTTTCTTCAAGTGAATATTTCAGTGAAATTATGAATTTATTTTTCCTCTATTACTACATTAGTGTGCCTACTGAATTCAATGAACAATGTTATCATTCAATATGTGTGTTTGTCTGTGACATACCTGATAATTTGAGTGTTCATTACAGTAATCTCTTGTAAAAACTCCACACAATGTTTCTCCATAGGGCTTTACTTCAGTAAATAACTCATCAACAGTTTTCACCACTTGGTTAACGAGAGCCTTAAATAATGAAAAACAATCTGCTATTGAGATGTTTATCAACAACATTGCCAAACAAAACATCTGAAGCAAACCAATGATTTGGCATAACCGATATACAAGCTAGCACAGTAGCAATTTGTATCGTTCTTGATAAAAGAATCACTTCGCACCAAATTGTTCCTGCCAACTCCATTATAAATTGTTCCTACCAACTCCATTACAAATTATGCAACGTTTATTTCCATGGTCAGAAAACAAGAACATCAATGTAACAGATGTATATACAGAAGAAAGTAGATGTTTTTCTGCAATTGTCTAGTTGGCTAATCAATGGTCAGTACACTGGAGAAGGTGACTGTGTCTGTTTAGTGAAAGAACTGGATCATATGACAGATCTACCTTCGGCAAGATTTTCCAAAGTGTTAGGTCTATGAAGATTTGAATAATAAATTGAGTAAACTGGAAACCCTAAGAAGACTGTCGCCCAAAAATCTTTGCCACCATAGATATGGTTGTATGAAAAAAATCAAAAGTGGGGGTTGTAACAGTGGTCCCCAGGAAAAGTGAGATTCCAAGTTCACTAACCCATCCAAAGGAGAATGGAACTGAGTGGAGAGGAAAAGAACCTGAAGAGCAAGGAAACGGGATGGAGGCTAGGAGACCTGAGGGAGACACATGCAGCAAAGAGTCATGTGAAGAAGCGGCTCCTGTTTCTAACCCCTGGATGGGTAGAAACAGATATGCATAAGAGACCCTTGGGGAGGTTAACTATGGCAGCATCTATGTTGTCTTTTCTATATTGCACACTGATTCTATCAGTCTCTTACCGTTAAAGTGGTGCCGCTTACTGAGCATTATATATTATCAGATGTTTTTATGTGCACTGTCACATTTAATGCAAAGAACAATCATATAAAGTAAGCCTGTATCTATTCTGTGCAAATGGAAAATTTCAGGTGAAAAACAAGAGATTCTAATGTGGCCAAGGCGGCCACATGGCACAGCAGCACTCAAACCTGGACCTCGGCCCTGGAGCAGGTTACCTTGCTACGATTAGGGGTACAAGCTACAGTGTCGGGAAGCACTGTTAACCACAGAGCACCATATGGATGCAGTACCTTTGTTGGAGCAACATAAACAACTACTCCATCATTGCTTTCTCTCAGAATTTTCTCCATGCAGTAGTAAGAAGCATATGTCTTCCCAGATGACGTTGGAGCAACGATCACAGCAGATTCGTTATTATCCACCACATCAAGGAGCTCCCTCTAAGAGAAAAAGAAATAGCATTTCATTTTGAAAATAAGAACTTCGTGTTGTATCAGGCTAAATAGTATTTACAGTTTCTTCTGAAACACAGTGGTATTTAATGGCAGAGAGAATCTGATTTCTGTTGTACAGAAACAATTCAACTCACACCTCGTTTCCTACAAAGTCCTCACAAAAACTTGGACAAAGATGTCCTAATAATTGCCATCACTGCAAAGACCCTGCAAGGATGTCATCCAGCCCAAATCTGCAAGCTTTTCAGCTTAAAAATCTCTGGCTGAAGTCAAAATCACCAAAAAATCTGCAATCTTACTATTTATACTTCCATTTTCCTGTTCAATAATCACCAGCAGTTGAATATGGTATGGAAAACAGAAGTTTTTTTGCCTACGTGTGGGTGTGGGTATATATTATACGTGTGTGTGTGTTTAAATATATATATATACACATATACATGTAGATGTACATATATATGTATATATGTATGTGTATGTATGCATATGTATGTATACATATATATGTACATACACACGCGGATACAATTTTTAAAGCTTGCAGTTACACACATCTATATAAATAAAATACGGAGTCAGTCATTCAGCATCCCTTTATCGCTTAGTTCAAGACATGGCATTTTTCATGTTATGTTACATGCTATGATTTACATGATCAAAATGTGTCAGTATCTCCCCCATCATGTTTCCAGGCTGCGTATCTCTTCAGTACATACCTGCCATGTGTCTGGTATAAAATGATGCACTCTGGGGTCTGGATCACTTCTTTCTTCTCGAAATAAGAATGGGCCCATGTGTGTTAACTGAAATCGAGCTGGTCCCATGTCAACTGAATATTTAGAAATGTCCTTTTTGGTACCAGACTCCTCCACCTAAAACAGGCATGCCATATTAGGTTTTCATATCCTTTATAATGATTTAATCTGGGCAAAGAAATGATTCTCAATCATGATAAGATCTGCTTTGTTTCAATGAGATTATCATTTCATGTTCCATTCAATATTAACATTGAACATTGCATAACCAATATGAAAATAAGCAAAAGGAGAGTAATTATCTATTCTCTATCAATTCCTGACAAATGAAGACAGATTGTTGCTATATCTTCATTGATGTGATGTCATTTTAGTTGATAGTACCGTGTTCATAAAAATAAGTGAAAGATCATAATTAATCATGTAATTACAAATCTATGTAATATTCAATTGCTAAGCAGGAAAATTTACCTCCAAACATAGAAGTATGTTTCGATTAAGAACCCCTTCTCAATCTTAAAACAACATCTTTTAGAAATAACTCTTAATAAGGAAATTATGTATTTGACATAGCCTCTCTTATTGGAAGTTCTGATATCATGTTATTAAGAAAGCATGAGAAATATTTTTAAAGGTTAAGACGTTATGACTGAGTATCAGCCACAAATATTGATGGCTTAAAGCAGGAACATTTTTCATTGAAGAGTTCGCAAAAATAGGAGAAATTCTTAAGTATCAGTGATTTTTCAATTTACTTTCTTGTCTAAGATGAAAAGGAGAAAAAGCCCTCTAATAGAAGTTTTTGTTCAAAAATTAATAAAGTGAGGACTCAATTTCTGTCATCACCGCTATCGCTTTCATTTTTGTAACAGAATGAATTACTTTCCTAGAACTTGTAAATTGTTTTCTCCTCACTTCTCAGGTCCCTGAAAGGAATAAGGAAACATAGCTCTTTGGTATGGACAAAGAATGATCCATGATGCGATGTCTAGCCCTATGACTCTATGAGTTCAGATCACATTCTGCCTTAATGTATTTTCCATTTACTGAACAAATATTGTAAAACCTAACTTCATAAGCAGTGCAGCAAATATGGGCAAAAATCTTGCTTCTCTGTAACTTGCAGTCTAAGATTGAACAAACAAATGAGCAAATTATAAACCAAAAATCTCAGATAACTATAGATGCTTTGAAGAGAAAGAAACACCGAAATTTTATTGGTGACTTTACTTGGGCGTGGAAAGGAGTAGAGAAAAATGCTGAGATCAGATGATCTAAAAAGCCACACTTCTGTATAAGGTCTTTGGTAAGATGTTTCATCTGAAAGCACAGAATAACTGTTGTGATACTCAGAAAGTCAGATGCGACAACTAGGTAACCAGGGATCAGATAAAAGGGGCCTTGTTAATTCAAAGTAACATGGGCAACTGTTTTGCTTCGTTCAGCCTGCTTAAGCAAAAAATACCATGAACAAGGTGGTTTTAAAAAATAAACATTTACCTTGTATAATCTGAGACTGGGAGGACAGAAATCATGTTACTGGCAGACTTGGCTACAGCCTTCCCTCCGGCAGCCATATTCATGGCAACCTCACATAGTGACAAGATAAGCCAACACTCTGAGGTCTTTTCATAAGAGCACTAATTCCATTCATGAGGGTCTCAATACCTGCTCACCACTTCAAAATACCATTATTCGGGGGGTGGGAGAGGCAGTTTAAAATTCTGGCATATGAACTGCTTGGGCCATACACTCAAGCCTTAACACCTCTAGCATAAGTATATGTCCATAAAAAATGTCAGATCTGTGTCTATAGAAGACAGATGGGTAACCATTTGGTAAATTTAATAAACACAAATTCCAAATATATATCATGAAATACTTCTGACACACATACACACACACTTATATATGAATGTCACATAATGTGTCTTATAGCACATACCTGAAGACATGAGTATGCCAATTTGCCAAATCCAATACATTCTAAATATTTGAATAACTTTTGTCGATGAGCATTTTGTAATTGTTCTGAATACTTTTCATGGATTATGTGAATCCTTTTCATCAAGTTTATCATGATGTTTATATCTTTGGATTGTGCTTCTGGTGAATTAAAATATTGACATGGATAATGTAAGTTAGGAAAGATATTAACTACCCCCAAAACTGATTCAACTCTGATGTTCAGATTATAAAGCATATTGAAATGAGTAACTCATAATAGCCAATATTGCACCTCACTTAAGAATGAGGTCTCTTGGTTTAAAATAGCAAACACAAATACAAGTGATCCAGTTGTGGCTTATACAAATTGGCACAGATGCAAACCAAAAAATCAGTTTGCTGATCCTTACTGTCTTTATATGTATAAAAGGATGCTATTAATTGATCTCAGTACACAATTATCCTAAAGATCAAAAAAATCATAAAATGACCACATACATAATGAATCTATTACTGTATCAAATAAAGGAAATTTTTTGCTCTTTGTAGACATCACAATCCCAAATCAGTTCAGGAAGTAAGAATCAGGAATATTTAATGTATAGCAATTCTTCTGTTCTCATCTTATTGATTGTTTAATGAATTTCTAAAATTAGCATTTGTATACCTTGTTTTGAACAGTTTTCTATCCATAATTCGAAACAGGTGTGCAATCCTGCCATCTCTGCAATAAGCCTTACAGATTTAACAGTGCATGTTCGGAGAAAATCTTCTAATTTTTGTATGCCAGAATTCAGATTTCTTCTAATTTCCTTTATAATAGTTGGGGACAAGTTACTCCATCTTTCTTCTTCTTTTTTCTCTGCATTAGCCAGCTGTCTCTTTTGATTTTCTTCAATATCTGTTTGTGATTTTGTCTTGAAAAAGGAAAAATGTCAATGATAAAAATAATTGTTTCCAGGTTAACACATGTTATATTTTTGCACAAAATATGTAGCATCTCAATTCATTATTATGTCATCATTTCTAATTTTAAAGAAGCAAGTCAAAGAGACATTTAGGGTCTTTCCAGAAGGGTTTCAGTAGACTGGACAATGGATTATTGTTGAACAGTATGGGTGTACTCGTAATTGGAGTGGTGCAATAACATATCTGAAGGATTTTTTTTGTATTTGTAAATCATACAAAATTATAAAATATCTCCTTGATAATTCATACATAAATAAGGAGTGAAAAGGGGAAAATATCCATATAGAGAAATGTATCGATGTAATTTTGTGTGAAGGTTCTTAGAGTTTTTATTTCCTTCATTATACTTCATATGTTTATATTTTATATTTACATACTGTACTTTATACTATATATTCATGTCACAAGCATTCAGAGATCAAATTGATTAATCTTTTGTGATACATGCTTAGTATTTAGAGTATACTTCACATGACAATTAAATTCAACAGATTTTTTCTTCCTTACTAACACATGAAATCAAATGTATACAATGATGCACATTGTTAGTGAGAGTCTTACATGACAAGAGTAGAATCTTGGGGTCCCCCACCAACCATGATTTAGCCCTACTAGGTCAGGACTGTACCTGATTTGTTCTCCTATTTTGCAGTGTTGAATTTTCATGAGTACTCAGAGCTCCTTCTCGTTCAATGCTTACTGAACTTCCTGTCAAAGATTTTTCATAAACATGATAAGTGATGTGATTTCTATATTTCTCTTTAGCATCTTTCAATTTGGCTACAAATAATGCTACTAAAAACATGTTGGCAGTGCTGTTCAAAAAAGTAGAGGTTCTTTACGATGGCTTGAGAAAGGCGTTAACACTAAGCCTTAAAGTTTATATTAATCTAATCAAAATATTAGCAACTGTGGTATAGAATTATTGGGTCATGGAACGGATCCAAAACAGCTTCTTTATTTCCATATACACTTAATTACAGTGCATGAGGCATATGAATATACCCATAGAAAAAGTCAATGATAATCTAGTGCCCTTGTTTTCATCCAGTACATCAAAACAAGAAATACTCCAGCTCTATGATATAGTTAATTACACTACTCATATTTTCAAGAACATATCACAGGAATATTCTGCAAGGACAACCAATTTGGAAACAGTTTCCAAAAGCACCCCCAAATTAGTTCAGAAACATTTGGCTAAAACAAGCAAATTCCCAGTAATAGACAGAATGGACTCTCAAGACTATTAATTTGCATACTGTCCTAAATATGAAGCAGTACTGAACACATCTAAAAGAAATGTGTCCTGCCGCCCCACGCTGCTGTCAAAGCAATCCTTTTGAAGGAGGCAAACCTGATCTTGTCATTCACATGGTGCAGACATTGCAGCACCTTTCACTGCTCTCCCTTTATTCATGATCTTCATGTAGGCTCACAGCATGAAACCTGCATGATCAATAGCTCATGCTATATGGAAAGGCAGTAAGGCCACATCCTGTCGTGGTTCCCCCACTGGTCCCTAGCCCTACCATGTATGCAACTATCTTCATTCAGAACTGGCCAGAAAATCTCCCAATTCTTTAGCAGACTCCCTTTACACCCTTTATTGTTGTAAACATCACAATTTTTAATGTAGTATATATATATGCTCATTTATAATGAATGAGACACACCTGAAACAAAGCTATAATGCAATGCTATTTCAATAGGAATTTTTTTTAATAATGAGTATGTGTTATGTCGAAAACTTGAAAATGGAAAGTCTTAAAAAGACTCTGTTAAATATCTTCTACTATACTCGACTGTGTGAGCAAGAAAATCTAACTGAGTTTTCTATTACACTCCCAGAAGTCAGCAGAAATTGGAGCACATGGTCGGTATCTTTACAGGAATAGATGCAAAACACGTGTGCAGATTCTGTAACACTAAGCTGGCTGCCACTTCCCTAGCCACAATGAGTCCTAATGTGTGAATGAATTTTGGTTTTCCTAGAATAACATTCCTGTGCCAGTTTGTAATACATGAAAACACTAAGATTATGAAATTATATTGGCCCACAATCATATTATCTTAGATATTATGTGTTTACCACTACTGATGTGGCTTGTCCTGTGAAAGTCATCACTGAGAAGTTTAAAAGAATGCCAGTGTCTGTGTTCATCAAATTCTCTTCTGGAAAGAGCTTGAAAAGCTGTGTCATCACTGCAGAAGAAACAAGTCATACACTATAAGCACACATACAATTTTTTAGTTCCTACTCTAAACCATGACTTATTTCAAAGGATACATCCTGAATTATCAATGAGCAAAAGGTGTTTAAGGAGTTAAGATATACTATAAAGAAATAATCAAGAACTGGGAAGGCTATTAATAGACTTTGCATGTCTATAAAGATAAAAACAACCACTCAATAATTATGTCACTTAATAGATTCCACATAAATGATATCACAGCCAGTACGTTATTCTTAGCTTGCTTTGTTGCACTAAAAGTATGATTTAAGTTCACACATGAGTGTGCCTTTTTTTACTCTAGTATTGTTGATGATTTCATAATCCAGGTACATGTTCTGCCTGCTTATGGTCTTTAATGTACATATCTGGCTGCCAAATGATCTATCTTTTAATTATGAACTTGAGTTGCCTATCCATTACAGAATGAATATTAAGGAAAATTTGTGAAAAATGAAGGAAAGCCGTTATAAAAATATGCAAGTACATTTTCAAATCATAAAAGGTTAAGAGAAAATTACTTAAAAATCCCAAAATTCATCCTTCTGTTAAATTCTAATAATGTACTTACAATAAATATCATAGCAGCTCACTATATTCATTAACTGAAAGTATAAATGTGGGGCCCTCCCTGGTGGTGCAACAGGTTAAAAACAGCACTGCAAACTAGCTTCAGTCACCTTGATGCTAGTTCAATCCCCAGCCCAGGATGTGACCCACATGGCACAACAGACCTCAGCAGTGTGATTCAGTCATCTGCTGTTTTGCTCCCTACTCTTTCTCTGGTGAATCCTCTGACCACTCCTGCAACCCTGCCTGTACCCCAGCTCTGTATGCATAAATAAATCTTCAATAAAAAAGTGTAAATGTCACAAACAGGCAGGTTTTTTTTGCTTGTTTTATACACAAAATACCTGTTTAGGAAAGATAATTGCGAGACAATATCTCCAGCAAAATCTTCTACAAGGTCAGATTTCATAGGAATGAGTCTTGATTGAGAGATTTCTTGCTTTGACCCTGGTGGCAATGAAAAATACAATGAATGACTGAATATCAAATTGCAGAAATAATCTTTCCTGGTGAGGCAAATAATTCTGGAATAGTAAATTTAATATATGCATTAGTTATTACAAAGCAAATATTTCAACTGAGTTGCTGCAAGTCAGGAAGTTCATATATAAATCAAATTTATCATCCACATATGAAATCATAAACATAAGTATATATTGAGTATACTGAAGCAGAAGTTAATTTGAACAGAAGTTGAATGAATTTGAAATATAAAACCAGGAAGGAAATCATTGTTTGACCAGAAAAGACAAGTATTCATTTTGGACCACAGTAAAAAAAATGTGCAATTTTTCCATGAACCAAAAATATGACAAAGCTGATAAAAATTGCCTAAATTTAGCCATTGATACTAAAATGGCATAGCAATAAAGCAATCCCTGCCTCTTTGCTCAGTTAACATTTAAAGGAAACATTTCATGTAGGTCCTAAATAAAATTTTTTTACATGAATGGACTGTCAGTGCTACTTAAATACAAGCTAGTTTCTCCATAGGAACTGTGTAAGACAGCCATAATACAGAGACAAACATAATTAGACATTAACTCGATTCATTTCTCAATCAATTCACTACATGATTCAAGAGCCTTCCCAAGTTTTTATGTATAAATTGAGAGATAAGTCCACAAAGGCGGCTTTTTAAAAGCCAGCCAAAGCGCAATACCTGCCAGAACAAGGGGTTAATTAATCAGTGTTAGCTGCTTCCTTTCCTGTGTCCTCAACGCGTGTGTGCGTGCTCACTCTTAATCAAACAAATTAAACCATGGGCTGGCAAAGGAAGAGCTATAGCGGTGGACACTAAGAAGGAAAACTAAGCACTCCAAAAGACTTGTAAAGGCAAGTTTTATTTCCTGAACGAATACCGTGCTGCCAATGTCTGTGTGCCGAACGAGTCAGCATTAAAAAAGACAATCATTACCTCTACGCAATGCCCCTTTCTGTTTAAGGAAGGGTCTGGATGTTGTCCTCACAGGGAAGGCTCCACCAACATTGTCAGTCGCTGATAGTGTCACAATCATGTCCCACAACTTCACATATTCCTGCATCAAAGTGTCACCCATAGCCAAGTTTCCTCCTATGTAGTAAAGAAAAAATGTTCAAACGAGTAATTAAAACTGCTAGTCACTATACTTTAACAAGTACAGAAGTTGTGAGCATCTTGGAAGCTTATAAATGCAGAATCAATTCTGGCATGTGTAAATGCTGTAATTGTTATAAGAAAGTGAATTATCTTGGAATTTGGTTACAGGTATATTCTTTTTAAAGATATTTTTCTTTTTATTGTAAAGTCTGCAAACATACCGCAAAAGTAGAAGATAATGTGTTACCTGACTCTAAATAATATAATGAATTACACTATACCAATCCATCATTTATTTAAGATCAACAGTGAAAATGTTGCCATATTTGCCTCGTTTCATCTTTTCAGAACCATGTTAAAGTACACATCATGCATGACACTTTAGCCCTACACTTCAATTTACAGCCTCTGAAATTAAGATTCTCTTATATAAGCAAAGTGTCACAGTCTCAAAGAGAATTTGTACTTCCTCAATATCAAATAACCAAAAATATTCAATCTTTTCAATTAAAAGAAAAAAAGCATCAGGCCCTCTCTGATGTGCAGCAGGTTAAAGTGCAGCATTACCAATCTGGTTGCAGCCACTTTGTCAGGAGTTCAGTCGCCCATCAGGGAGGTGACCCACATGACGGCACAGACCGCCCCTCAGCAGTGTACTTCATCTGTCTGCCTGTTCTGCTCCCCGCTCTGTCTCTGGTGAATCCTCTCCTCTGGCCTGTATGTATACCAGTGCTGTATACATAGGTAAATCTTTTCTTTTAAACACCACAGTGGACCAACTAGAGGCAGTCTATGATTACACTGTGGGAGGTGGAGAGCCAGGTGTCTTTCTGAGGGGTTCAGAAGGTCCTTCTGGGGGACATATCCCAATAAGGAAAATAAGGAGGTAGGTCTTTCTACACTATCTCTTTCTCTCCAGATAATAGTCCAATCGGACACTTTCAGTTTTCATGATTTTTCAAATATTCAAAATAATTGACACCAGTAACTCTTCTGCCATTCTATAACATATGAAATGATTGAAATGTGAAAATGTAATAAATTGCAACACTTATCAGTGTTCTGTGGTAGCTTCTTTATTCCTTTTAATTTGCTCTCCCTTTTCCCCTTAAATATCTGATAAATCATCTCATTGTTAGTATTGAAAAGGAATTTTAACCTTGCAAGAATGCAGACTTCTCATAAAATAATCTACTTGAAAGCTTCTTCTCCAATGGCAGTTAACTGATATATAGCGCATTGCCATTACTAGTCAGATACAACTCTTACCAAAAAGTGAACAAAAATTAAAACATACCGCTAGTATATTCAACTTCATAGTGATAAGCAATATTTTTCCACAAAATGTTATCTGTTAAGTCTGGCAGGCCAGCAAAATCCACTTTCCAGTTATCTCCAAACTTTAATTGCTTTAGGATGAAA